AGATGGCCCGCAACGCTCCCCTTCTCCTCCTCCTCCTCCTTCTCCTCCTCCTCATTCTCCTCCTCCTCCTCCTCATTCTCCTTCTCCTCCTCCTCCTTTCCCTCCTCCTTTCCGTCCTCGTTTCCCTCCTCATTTTCCTCCTCTTCCGCCTCCACCTCCTCTTCTTCTTCCTCCTCCTCCTCCTCTCTCCCCGTCCCGCTCCGGCCCAGGTGCGGTTCTCCCTGACCCTGCCACACTGGCGGGAAGGCCAGCCCCCGCCAAAGCCCTTCACGGAGATGCGGGAGGACCGCCGACGGCCAGCGGGGATGGGAGGGGTCCTCCGTCCTCCTCGTCCCCCTCCTGCTCCCGACCCTTTTCCTCTTTCTCCCCCTCCTATTATGGCTCCTCCTGCGCCTCCTCCTGTTCCTGATTCCTCCTCCTCCTCATCCAGTGCCTCCTGGAGATCTCTTGGCAGGTATCCGACGGCCTCAGACCGCCGACAAATGCCGACGACGGCGCGCCCTCAGGGGGAGGGTGGTCGGCTTGATGCCCGCGCCGCCGCGCGCCTCAAGCGGCCGATGGGCCGTGGCGGGGCAGGCCTCGCGCTTCAGGGGCGTGGCCGTGGCGGGGCAGGTCAGAGGCAGCGTCAGGGGCGGGTGGGCTCAGGAGGGGACTCGGGGGGCCGCCGAGGGAGGGGCGATGACTAGGTGTGTGCCTGTGTGTGTGTGTGTGTGTGTGCGCGCGTGGATGTCATCAGGTGGCAAATCACGGGAGCCTTGGGTACCCTCGTAGTTTTGTTTTTAGAGTGCTCTCGCGTCGATCCGCGTTTGGCAATCGATGATATAGTGCCGATTCAGCGTCGGCCAGCGTCGACTAACGTCGATTTAGCGTCGACTAGCGTCGATTTGCGTCGACTCAGTTTCTTACAAGAGAAGTAAGAATCGCTTGCAAGCACTGTTTGGGGATTTTCAAGCTTCAGGGTTATACGTGGTGCGGAAGTCTCAGTCAAAACGTCAGGTGCGCCCTACCGACCTGGGCGTGAAACATCGATGTGTGATGTGTGTGTATAAAAATATAGATATACACGTATATATCCTGTATATATATATATATATACACGGATATGTATGTTTATGGATGTGTTTGTAAATGCACACATTTGTATGCATTCGTTTTGTACATGTATACGAATACAAATGCATAGAGCTCAAAGGGCACAGCATGAAGGAGGAGGAGGAGAGGAGGAGGGAGATGGTAGTGAGGAGAAGGAGGATGAGGAGGAGGAGGAGAAGGAGGAGAAGGAGGAGGAGGAGGAGGAGAAACTGGTCAGGGCGAGGGCGGGTGGCGGGGGCGGGCCAGCCCGAGAGGACATGAGCGTGCAGGACCAGCGGCAGATGGCCAGCAAGGGCCTCGCCCAGACGCGCCCCTCTCCCCCTCGGCTGGGAGTGCGACGAGGGAGGGGAGGGAGGGAGTGAGGGAGGGAGGGAGGGAGCGCACGGGACGAACAGATACAGGCCTCGGAAGAAGTCAGCGAACACTCATGCCACGTTCATGTGTCCATGCCCCCCCCCACCAATGATCAATGTTGGCGGTGGGTTGGACGAGTTGCACTTCGACCGCAGTCTTCCCCGCGCTTGCCAACTTTGAGTTTTGGGGGGTGGGGGAGTGTCCTCTAGCTCTTTCCCTCTACCGTACCGATACCGCTGCTCGTCCTGGAGAGCCCTCGTCTCCACGACCAGATTTTCCTCATGCCTCTGGTCAGAACGTACTCCGACGGAGGTCTGGGGAGTAACGGCATCGGTGTGATGTTGTCCATCCCAAGAGAGCGGGAGGGGTGAAGAAGGGGATGTGCGGCAGTGCGGCGGTGGTGATGAAGGTGCCGGCGCTGGCTAGCTGGCGTAAGCTCTGCGACGGCCATGGCTATGATGACAATGCGGCTGCTGCTGATGATACTGATGATGATGCTGCTGATGATGACGATGACAATGCTGACAATGCTGATGATGACGATGCTGATGATGATGTTGATGATGATGCTGATGATGATGGTAGTGGTGGTGGTGATGGTGGTGGTTGTGATGATGTTATGATGTTGATTGCGATGAGATGCTGACTTCCGATGGTGATGAGGATGATTGAGCTGTGAATGATGTGGATGAAGAGGCGGATGGGGATGGGATGTTATGAACACGTAGTCCTCTGACATTGAGGAGGGCCCAGAGAGGGCTGTGAGGACAAGGATGGTGATGAGAAGGTGGATATGGATGGTGGGAACGGTTGGGCTGACGAGAAGGTTGATTACGCATCTGATCGTAGAGGCTAGTGCGAGGCTGTGTATGATCTAACGTAGAGGCTACCTAGATGTTCCGTGTGAATGCATGGTTCATTTTCTCGAATTGAAGAGTTCATGTGTTAAACTTTTTAGACGAGAGGATTTCTATCGTCTAGTACATTCGTTCGTCCGGTTATCTGTAGATCTATATTTTTCATACTTGCACAGCACCAATGTAGCTACTACACA